CCGCAGGGCGCCTGACCCTTTTGCTGGCGAAAGCCGTTCATACGGTTGTTTAACTTAGTCTGACAAGCCTTTAGCACAAGTACGACACAATTGAAACCTTCCATACGATCCCCTCCAAAGCAGTGAATGCAGCAAAGCCATGCAAAGCACTTACTAAAAGATCTGCTACGTACAATAATAAAGCCCAATTCACTTACACTTCACCCGTATGCTACCCACCGTGCCAGGCAGGGGGGCGTGGCTCGTTGTTTAACTTAGTCTGACAAGCCTTTAGCACAAGTACGACACAATTGAAACCTTCCATACGATCCCCTCCAAAGCAGTGAATGCAGCAAAGCCATGCAAAGCACTTACTAAAAGATCTGCTACGTACAATAATAAAGCCCAATTCACTTACACTTCACCCGTATGCTACCCACCGTGCCAGGCAGGGGGGCGTGGCTCCGTTTCTTCCCACGCACGGGGCCGCCGGTGTGACGGGCCTCATCGCTTCTAGTCACATCGAGCAGGACCTGCGAGTCGACCCTGCCCGTTCCCTCCCACCGATTGTTCTTACTAAGCCCAATTCATGGCAAAGCGAGACGTGGTCGTTCTAATACGATTTACCAATGGATTCCGTATTGGGCAGGACACGTCAAATGCCCGATGTCCTATCTGGGGTCTATCCTGCTGCTCAGGGATTGCTGCTGTGTGCGCGGTTGACGGTTCCAGGGCTGCAGCTGTACTTTTCGCTGATCAGAAACACGTCCCAGTACAAGGCCGCTTGGTCCGTGTCTTGACGGGGTCTCGCGTCCCAGGCGTAATCTGCATTGTTATGCAAAACCGTTCCTGACTCTCGGGCCCTGCCTGTGTGCGTTGGGGCACCAGACTTGAGACACCCCTCTCCTCCTGCCTTCTGGGTAGTCCGAGCCTGGCTTAGCCGGCCACGGCTCCGTGATTTGCATCCTTGCTGTGCACCGAAGAGGCAGCTGAAAGCAATGCCTGTACCAGCCGCCCGCTGCTTGGCAGGTTTGGGACTGGCCGAAAATTGTGCTGGGCCCGAGGCAGAAGCAGCTGCCTCGTCTGTCTTTGCTGCTCTTTTCCCTCCTCTCTTGTGCCTCTTTGGCAAGTCTGGACTTGAACAGCCCCGCCCGGTGCTGCTGCGTGTGTCTCCTGGCCCCGGAAGGCCGGTCACTGTTTTCAGTGCCAGGGGAGTGTATGGCAGGGGGGCGTTTTCCTGCCAAAGACCCACGGTAGCGAAAGGGGACAAGGCGCGGCGGGAAAATGAAAGCCTGACTCACGCGTTAGTGAAGGGTTAAACACGTCACTGGTGTGTTCACCGTGGTAGTGAGCGGGCTGAGGTCCTTAGAAACCGAATCCTGGTTCTTGGTTAAAAGCAGTCGACATGTAAATGGTTTCACTTGCTGGATCCATTTCTTCCATCGAAATTAATGCACTTGGTTGAGAGGGGAAACTGAGGCACCAATGTCTTTCCCAAGGCCACACAGTGATTTCAGGGCCAGAGCTAGAAAACAATCGCAGGGGCCCTGAGTCCCTCCCTTGCTGCTCGGTGTCATCAAGACCTAACTAAACGCCGGGGTTATTTTGGGAGCGGAAGTGGGGGGGGGGGGGGGGCTCTGCTTTGGGAGCAGCATGTGGAGAAGTTAGAAACACCGTCCAGGGCTCCTCATCCCCAGGGTACCCCAGACTGGAGCTCTAGCTCGCAGTGCCCCGGGGGGCTAGGACTGTCGGCTGCTAGCGACGCTGCTGCGGTTACTGGCAGGGCACGGCTAAGAGGTAACGTTCTCAAAAGCGCCTTCTTCCCAAGGCCCGGTGGGAGTCCAAGGGATTTAGGCACTAGCTCGGTGCGTGTGATAGACGCCCTCTGGGGCTGCCCCCTTGTGTGAGAAGCCGGAATCGGAGAGCCAGCTGGGCTGGGGGGAGGGCAGCACTGGGGAGAGGCCCCATGGTCACAGTCTCGTCTCCGGCTGTTTCCAGGTCTGTTCGGTGACAGCTGCCTCGTTTACGCAGGTTCCCCTGGCTACGCCCACGCTGCCCTGCAGATCCGGGGCTCCCAGCCTGCCCTTGGGCGCCCACGCTGCATCGCGCTCCTGCCATGTCCACACAGCACCATGCGTCTGACATGGGGCTGCTGCTTGAGCTGTGCCCACCCTGCCAATGACCCGGCCCGCTAGCACTGTCCTCGGTCCGGAATGAGACTGGCTCGCGTGCAGCTGGGAGGCAGAGCCTGGGTTTCGTGCGCCGTGTGGGCTGCCCCGGTGTGGCCTCCCTTGCCAGAGCCGCTGAGATCTCACGAGCATCAGGGTGGCCTGGAGAATAAGGCAGATCAGCGCCATCCCTGCTGTCTAATGGACGCTCCCGCACAGAGCTGAAGTGACTTGCCCAGGGCCACGCAGGGTATCGGGGGCAGAGATGGAACCTTGAACCCAGAGCTTCCCAGTCTGCACCTCCGGCCTGTGCTGGTTTTCTGGCCCCACAACCGTTTCCAAGGCGTAGGGGGGCTAATTCTAGTGTCTTGCTCAACTTTCTTCCTCCTTTTTCTTCTCTCCAGACAGCTGGGTTGACAGGAGAAGTCCCCGCATATTGCCAGTGCTCCCATAATGAGATGCTGTGAGCAGACCGAGTAGGTGAAAATAGACTGTCTGCTGCGTTTGAGGCCCACGGAGTCGCGCGGCAAGATGTGGTTTATCCTCGTGCTATTTCTGCCATCTCTCTCCTCTCTCTGACCCCGCCGCCTTTCTGTTCCCTTGGTTCTAAAAGGGCTTTTGTGCTGTAGCTCCGGCAGACAATGCCCTGGTACTAGCGCCGTTCTTTGCAGCGGAAAACTGTTTTGCTCCTGGCGAAACCTGGCCACTTTTGGTGCCCAGTGTTAACACGTCTAGCGCAGCATCCTCCGGTGGCCAGATTGGGGCGGAGCGGTCTGCGTGGTCTGGGTTTTTCTCTGGCAGGGGTTTGATTTCTGTTCAGGGATCTGTGATAAACTGGCTGGCTCAGTTACTTGCCTCTCTAGAACCTAGCCAGGAGCTGCTTTCAGCTGGCAGGCTCAGGGTTCAGGTGGCATGGAGTGGTCTTGGGGCTGGGGAGGAATCAGCAGGCACGTACTTGGAGCCTGGCAGTTTTCTGGCTGAGGTCACGCAGAGGCAGGCGGCTGTCTGTCTGTCTGTCTGTCTCTGTCTGGCAGAGGCAACCCCAACATCTGATTGTTCTTTCTCACCTCCCGGTTGAACAGACGGGATCTGCAGCCGCCTTCGTCAGGCAGGTTTCACAAGGATCTGCTGGCAGGAGAACAAGGGGCGGTGCAGAGCAGGGAGAAGGGCGGGGGCTGGTGTGTAGGGTGAGGGGTGGAGAGGGAAGAGCTGGGCTTGGCTCACCCCGGAGTCACGTCCCCTTCTGTGCCTCTGTCTGCAAAATAGCAAAGAGGAGAAATGGACGCAGGGTCCTTAGCGAGAGGCGGGAGGAGCACCGCCTGTGTAGCCATGCGAAAAGAAACCGGAGCGGTGTCTTGCTCACACCGCGTGGGCCGTCACAGGCGGAAAAGCCCAGACTCCAAAGGGCTCTTCGGAGCCCGCACCGCCGGCTGGAAGTCCAGGCCAGACAGCCTCAGGTCTGCACTAAGGCAGAGGTCTGTCCCGGGGGTGGGGGGGCGATTAACCACGCAAGCAACCCGCCAGTTCTCCAGTCGTCACACCCAGACCGGCAGCCCTTCGGGGAGTCTGTTTGGCCAAACGTGTTTGCTATGCTGGGCAGTGGGTTGTGGGTGACCTCCACTGGCTGCTGTCTGCAGCACGGCCCAGCAGGGCAGGGGGTGAGTCCTTATGCAAGGGGGCTCCGAACCTGTCCGACCAGTTATCTCCCAGGGAGCGGAACAATGGGAAGAAGGGGAGTGGAGCCCTGGCTGGGGGCAGGGCTGGAAGTTAGTTAGGTAGTGTCTGTCTGGGATCATGGAGGAGGCAGCTTAAGCTACAGGCTGGGATTTAGGGGCCCAGTCTCCCCCATCTCAAGGGGGGCTGAGGCATCCTAGGCCTGCCCTGGAACCGGATAACATCTGTGCTGTGCTGTATCCTGGAGAAGCAATAAACGGGGGACCCTGACGCACCGCCACAGCGTGTTGTTGGGTTCCCTGCGGGGTAAGCGGGCGCGTGCTGTCCTGTGATGGGGAGGAGGCCAGGCTGGTGATCAGGGTCCCTTCTGGCCTGGGGATCTGGGACATGGGCTTTTTGGATTGCAAGCACTAGGGTGTGTGTGTGTATGTAAAAGCCATTTTCCCCATCTTCGTCGGGCAGCCCCCTGACGCACCGCCACAGCGTGTTGTTGGGTTCCCTGCGGGGTAAGCGGGCGCGTGCTGTCCTGTGATGGGGAGGAGGCCAGGCTGGTGATCAGGGTCCCTTCTGGCCTGGGGATCTGGGACATGGGCTTTTTGGATTGCAAGCACTAGGGTGTGTGTGTGTATGTAAAAGCCATTTTCCCCATCTTCGTCGGGCAGCCTGTCTGATGGCTGGAGGTCCCCCCAGACTCACTGAATTCACCATCAATCATGAGGACTCGGTAATGAAAGGATCTGGCTGTGCTTGAGTTTTGTGGCTCTGTCTGTGCGGCTCCAGTCCCCAGCGACTGATGTGCTCACTGAAGGGAAAGTCACCCCTCCCGGCCGCGAGCAGGCCTGTGGGTGGACGCACCCCACGGGCCTGTGTGTGTTGCCCAAAGGGGAATGTCACACTGACGCGAAGCGCGATCCATTTGGGTGTGGTCGGTGTTGGCCTCCTAGATAAATGTCTGTCTCCTTCAACTCCTGAGGTACTTGGGGCGCCCATAGGACACCCTATGGCTTCCAGGAGCTTCTGAGAGCCCCCTCTTTTTTTCTCCACTCCAGATCGTCGTCTCTGAAGTGGGGTTCGCTGGCGAAAGCGCGTGAGACTCTAGAGATGTGCCCGGCTCCAAGGTGCCACGGGGCTGCCTGTGTTTAAGGGTTTCAGGTTCTTTTTAGAGACCGCTGGCATGGGAGACGGTGTCAGGCGTTTCCTGAGCTGACAACATGGCGTGGGGCCGGGGAGCGGAGAGGCCGGCTCTGAGCAATGAGGCGTTCTACGTGGCAGGGCTGAGCCTGCGACCCAGCGTCTGCAGCTTCCTGCTACGAGGTTTCCGTGGGCTTGCTTGCATTCCCTCTCAGGGCGGCTGGGTACGGACCGACCTTTATCCGGGCCAGGCCTGCTGCCCCGACAGCGCTCCGAGCTCACAGGCTGCCCTCGGCGCCCCCGGCCAGTCGAAGGGGAGCAGTGGGTTCCCTCTGGCACGGTCCACCCCCCAGATTGGTCTGGGGGTGTTTTACTTCAGAGGCTGGGCCAGCCAGACTCTGCTCTCAGGTTCGGAGGGGAACCAAGACGACACACGTCGCTGAATGCGAATAAATACAAGGGTTATTAGACGATATAGAAAGAGAAGGCAAGAGAAGGCTTTCAGCATCCCTTTGGCTTGCGGGGACTCCGGCTCACAAGGGATGGACTCCCGCCATGTCCGAGGCATCTCTGTACAGTTCCCGGTCCTTCGGGAAGTCCAAAAGGCGCTGGCAATGTTAAGCCATACCTCGCCTGTGCACAAAATCCTAGAAGCAGCAACGAACTCTGTGCTAAAGAAGAAAGCCAAGCAAGCCAAAAGCAGGCACGGCCACCCCGAAGTTTATCTAAGCTATGCCGTGAGCTCACCCCCCCACTGGGCACGGCCTGTCTCTAGCGAGCGAGCGGGCTGGGAATTTCCCTTGCTAACAGCAGGCCAAAGCCCGTTTTCTAGTCTGCAGAGAAGAGAACTGGGAAGATTCACTCGCTCCTCGAAATACGACGGACGGTCTTCCGGTTTTCCAGCCGTAACGGGGGGTGAGGGCTGTGAGCCAGCGGCTGCCTGTGCCAGCTCTCCTTAATCCCTGCCTTTGCGGAGCGGCGTCAGCGCCGTGCGGAATGTCCCGCTTTGTGCCAGCGTTCCAAGGCGCGCCCGCCTGGCGGAGTTGCCGGTGTTTCTCTCAGTTATGGGTTGAGTTACAGCTGGCCGGGCCTGCCGGGTACTCGGGGTCTCCCAGACCCTGGAAGTGATGCTCGCAGCGGGGGGACAGGCGGAGAAGGGGTAGCAATGCTCAGCGTTCACCAGTCCCCGGGATTCTGTTGGCAGGAGGGGCTGCAACGTGGACAGGGCAGGGCTGCGCGCACGGTGATCATGCAGGCAAGGAGGCGGCTGTGCGAGGGCGCTGGCAGGGGAGGGACACCGGGGCAAGTACGGTGGAGCGGAGCCGGGTGCCGATTTGTGTCTCCCACCGTGAGTGAAAGGAGCTGGGTGGGGCCGCGGCTGGGGAGCGGCCGCCCGTCTCGCAGGGCTACGGCCGAGCGAGATGCTCTCCCGGGGCTGGGCAGCTTCGCTCCCTGCGCTCGTGTGCCTGGAGCCTGCGGGCTCTGCCGATTGCGCGTTTCTCCGTTCCAGCCAGGTGGTCGCCTGCCGAGCTTTGCACCCTGCTCAGCAGCACAGACGCTGGCAGCACGGG